CAGATCCTTAATGTTTGATAATTTTCAGAAACTTGAATTCACAAATACTATACAAATTGCAAAATCACTATGCTTCTAGTAGCATTACTTTACTGTTACTTAAACTTCCATAACCTACAGTATATACCATAAAGAAAAAAAAGTGTCACCATGTAACATCTAAGACAGATCATTTCAATAAAATATACCATCTACAATATACTACAATTCTCAAATACTGTATACAGTATTGTAAAGGACAAATTGTTATGAAAATTGTAACTGTAATCACATCTGAATAATATTACACGTCAACGTATATCAGTCTGCATTTCGCGAGATACTAATGCCAACCCATGCATATCCTCTATAGCATAAGCCACACGTCATTGACTCTGAAATGTCACAGCATGATCTCTCAAATCTTAAAATCAGATCAGGAATAGGCATTAAACCAGCCAAAAGAAAAGCTATAATGAGATAGAAGGCATTAAACCAGCCAAAAGAAAAGCTATAATGAGATAGAATAACTTGAACTGCACGTCAAGAAGATTACAAGGAAGAGCAATATAATTTTAAGAAGTACAGTGATTGATACATACTTTAGTTCAATATATTGCATGATATACTCATTAAAAAATTTCTATTTTTTGTCTAAAATTAAAAACAGATAAATTTAATGAAACAATTATGTACACATGATATATAAACTAGTTAAATTGACTATATTGAGATTATATTTTTAATCACTAAATCAGGGTGTGTCAAAAAATATATTAAATCGAAAGATATACCAATCATTTTCCTTTTAAAAAACCCAGCCTTAGTTGCAATTTAATACAACTTTTCTTTTAAGCTAATTGTTCAATGCCCATGCTAGCTGGCCACTTAAATCAAAAGACTGATATTTAGACCCCAGTTGGATCTTACAAACATAACTGAGAAAGTGATTAATATATATTGCATATTAAACAGACATCCTTGGTATTATCCCCAGAAACACTGATTTGAAATTTTTGTTTGATTGACAATAAGCATATAAGATTTCCATTTTCTTTTTCACTTATTGGTGCATGGAGATGTGCTTCATGCTAAATCAACAATTAAAGATTTTGGAAGCTAATAAGTATAATGTTATTAAGTAACCCAATAAGCATACAAGCGAAAAGCACAAACATTAAAATATATGTCATCATTTATCCTTGTGGTCATCACGTTATTTATTTTATTTTTATTTATTTTTATATTGGGTTGCATATCAAAGAGCAACCTTTCTTGTATTTGCCCTTTGGATTCAGTGACGTTATGTCATATATAAATACATTTTTTCATTTTAGGGCAATGATTCAAATTCGATCACTTACGAATTTGTTTAAAAATAAAAAAGAGCAACCTTTTTTTTTTAATTTAATTTAAATGTACAATTTAAATTTAAGACTTTTTAAATGAATTAATGTTGAATTAATTAGTTCATTTGTATCACATTAATTATTAATAACAAGATTTGTATTATATCTTAATAGAAGGTGATATAATCTAATTTATTTGTAAATCTCATAATTTTTTATCTATAATTAACCACGTTACTATCCTTTAATTCGTTAGTGTTTTTTTTTTGCTCGAAAAAGCTAATTTACCTTTTTGCTTTCCAACTTTTATATCTATTTACAAACTATAAATTATTTATGCTTAGATTGGAATTACGAGGCAAAGCCCAGGAACAACGGAACCGGATAAAAGAAAACCATGAATTTAATTCGGAAAGGACCCAAACAAAAAGATTTTTTCCCATGTAATTATTT